CGTTATGTAAAATTTTGAGAAAATACAAATTTAAACAAAATTCGAGGATGAAAATCACAAATTTAATTGAAGTTCGTATTTTTTTGGTTAAAAAATTAATATAAATAGCAGAATTGTGATATTGCATACACATTCGTTAGAACCTAAGCTACATGATGATATTTTCAAAAAAAAAATTTTATTATGTAAAAGTTTGCGGAATTAATAAAAATCGAGGTTCGGATACTTTCTTCCAGGCAGTGTATGTGTTGTGATACATGACTCAGCTGCAATAATTAAAATAAGAAGTTATATAATGAATGATATGAAAGACAAAGACTATTTCGAGCTATACAAAGACATCATATTCATATCAAAAATCAATAATAAATTAGTTGAAAGGTACCTAGAGGCCGAAGTAAATTCTAATAAAAAGACAAAAGAAATAATCTTCACATCAAAAAACGTTCCTTTATCAAAGAAGACAAATTGGATATTACCATTGCCAGCAGAAGGTTTTAAAGAACCATGTCACCTGTGTTCATATTATGGCCATAATTTTGATAAGTGTCCAAACATTATGAAAACGTATTTAGGTTCCTGCATGAAATGCTGGAATAACTATGCTCACTCAAATACAAAAGCTTGTGCTCTACCACAGAGAGAAACACCATTCCATGAAAATTTCAAAAGACCAGAGGCATTAATCAGAACCATGGGAATATTTGAAGAATAATTTGGACATACACATATATTAATATAAAATATATATAATGTTTATAAAACATTTTTTTTATTATGGTCACTATTATATAATTTTTTTTGATCTTTTCTCCTCCTCTTCTCCTCTTCTCCTTTTTTCCTTTTCTCTTCTTCTCCTCTTCTTCCTCCTCATAACCATTACAATTATTATCCCTCTTAATTATAATTATTTACAAGCAGCGAAAGTAAATTTTTATAATTTTTTTTTTTTGATCAATTGTAATTGTGAAGTTTATAAAGCAGCCTGCAGCAGTAAACTTCTGATTCAATTTTATTTTCATTGGTAATGAAATTTCATTTATAGAATATCAAGTTATTTTCTGCTTTAAATTTTTTTTGTAAATAGTTAAACAAGAAAATCCAAATATAAATAATGCTTTTTAAGAATTATCTGTATATACAGTCTAAATAAAAGATCTAAATAAAATGTTTTTTTTAACAATTTGATTTAATACAAGTCACTTGCATTGTAATGATACTCAAAAAATGATAGTATAATGAAAATGTTGTTATAATATAAAAGTCATGTGAGAATCATTAATGTATAACAAACTATTTGTTTAGCCTCTTTAAAATTCAACAGAAAGCCATTTGTTTAATTCTGATAAATTACTGATGACCAATTTCATAATTTATCTTGAATTAAGCTAGGATTATTTTTAGCACACTTACATAGCAAATTCCATGTAATATTATTGTTAATATTTTTGAAAGAGGAGATATGGAATAATAATTTCAAAAAAAGGACAATCTGAAAACAATTTATATTAATACAATTATTTCATAAAAAAAAACTCAATAGTGGTGGTCATTGATATAACTCGTTACTCTAGTTTATATAGTGCAAATATTCAGCCAATATATTAACATCATGCACCAACTTCGGACAAGTATAGAGATGGGAAAATTGCTGGTAGTGCGTAATTACCATATCAGCCGATTTGTTTTTTGGGCCCTTCTTTCAAATTATACACACATTTAAACTCGATAGGTCGGTCATTTATTTTTTTAGAATAATTGATTGTTGCATCCGACTTAATGAGCTTACATGTATATCTTATTGTGTGTGTATCTGGTCAGTAGAGTGATGATTAACCCTAAAAAAATTTATTTATCAAAAAAAAAAAAACTATTTTACTATTCAATAGCCTGTCAAACCAACGACACTACCTCAAAACTAATGGATCATAAGGTATTCATAATGTTATGATCACGCTATACTGAATTTTGAGATTAAACAAAATCGACGCATATGCCAAAAGTACATTTTTTGAGAACCTAGGGTTTTAGTGATTTTATACATAGAATTTTATATAACAATTCATTATGTGGAGTAACTTTGGATATTTACCATGGTGATTATTCTCATTCTTTTTTTATCATGATGATAAGACAAAGGATAATCATTTTTTTGGTGACATCACTATACTGTTATATATAAAATCACTATTTGACCATATCTTTGATGATTATGAAAATTTGGTCGTATAATTGGTCAACGTCAATTTCGTCACATTTCGTCAAATACGACGAAATTAACAACCGATTTGACGAAATAATTCCTCGCCCCGCAAGTATTTCGCCAATGTTCTTAGTATATATAGTTAAAGTTAAGCGCTGCCAATTTTTTTTTAAACAGATGGAATTATAAAAAAAAAGCTTAATCTGACTATGAATTACATCCCTTCCGTCCCTTTGATTTATATAATAATAGATAAACTTATGGTTCAACATTTTAATTAATTTATAAAAATAAATTTCTTAAAATAGAATTAAATGCCTTCTAAATTCGAGTAATAAATTAATATAGAATGTTAATTGATTGATCAAATTCATAAAATTCTTTCGTTAAAAAAAAAAAAATGTCATCCATTTTTTTACCTATGTGCTTCATTAAGACCGAGTCCTCCACTGACAGTGTAATTAGTGGAAGCGCCATATATAAAAACAAGCCCAACCGCGCGTTATTGAATGTTGATGAGAACATATTTGCTGAAGAACAAATATACGTTGCAATGAATCGTTAAAAAACTTGCATACTTTCGGTTTTGACCATGCTCAATTAAAGGTCTCTAAAGCAGCGTTAGAAGAATATAAAAGATTGGAAAAAGTTAATACTGAAGTGAAGGGTTGCAAAATTTGATAAGGCGGTAAAAATTTATTATGTGGAACAAATCAATCTTTTCTGCATTTGTAAATTTTTTTTTAAAAAAAAAAAAGGTTTAACAAGCAATTTAATATTAATATTAATATTTAGTTGACTGCGAAGAAAAACAATCCGTCGTTTTGTTCTGTTTTTATTTTATTATTGCTTTGTTTATTATATATAACATTAAAATACTTACAAATAAATTCGTGGACGTTCCACCGCTCAAATCATTGCGACGTTTAACTTAAAATCTTGTTAATAATGCTTGGTTAATAAAATTTTTGAATTGCATAATAATAAGAAGTAACATTTCCAATTATTAATCATCAGGTGATCGGATATTTTATGGTGGGGGGTGTATTTTCTAGAATATCTATATTTCTTAATAAAAAAAAGCAAAAACATATGGACTCAACATTGTCCAAAGAACATTTTAATCAACTTGATACATTATTGAATTCAGAAGAGGATTGTGATGTTAAAATATACGTTGGTGCAGAGCCAAACACTACAGAATTTCATGCACACTTTCAAAAATATCTTCTCTGCACAAAAAGAAAATGGGTATTTTATTGTTAAGATACCAAATGTCAGTGGGCGAATTTTCAAAACAATTTTAAAGTAAATTTATTATAAATTGTGTATTTTTAATTAAATACATAATTTTAATATTAATTATTTATGTGATTTTTAAAAGGTATTTTTATACTTGTAATATTGATTTAATTAATCATGCTGGGATCAATATATTGGAATTGTTAAATGTAGCCGAAGAGTTTTGTCTAAAGTCATTTTACAAATATATAAAAGATCATTTTATTAAAAATATTGATGAACACGAAAAAGGAGGCACGTTTTATTTTTCAGCATCGAAAGGATAATGCTTTTCAACAACATTTCATAGATTCTATGAAATATCCATACACACTGAAGCAATTGCTTTTAGATGTGTTTACGAAGATATATCAAGTACAAAATCAGTATCCTTTGATTGCTAAAACTTCATCTAATGGTATTAACTCATACAAATTGCCTTCTTTAGTTTACGAAATAGCCGATTGTCACTTCCAAAGGCTTTGTTACTTCTAGAAAACCATCTACAAACATTACTTACGATTACATATATTGTGATTACACTAACTATGCTGATTAGAATAATTGTATTGTATATATACTCACGTATAGACATGGTTATCACAATCATTGTCTACAAAGGAGCCAATCTAAACGTTTGATATCTTGGACTATCTTGAAGTTGAAATCAAAAAAAAAGTCAACGCACTAAAAGAAAGTATAACGAAAAGATTAAACGAAAATGAGTTTATCGAAAATATCGAAAATACAGTCGATGATGATCTGGATAACGTTGAATCAGCAATAAATGATGCAGCAACAATGGAAAATTTTATTAGGACATGCAAAAAAAAATTTTTTAGGTTGTAAATTTTGTTTTTATTAAATAAATTTGTTTGATTTTTTCATACATCGTTCATGATTTGTCTTAATCATATATCTTAAATGTTGACATTCGTTATATTAAAGTTGTTTTGGTTATATCGAGAGGTATGGTCAAGAGAAGAGTTAGGAAGAGAGTTATTCTTCAACCAAGTCGAAAATCAACCCTTTAAATACATTTTCGAGTAGTACAATTTAATTTGTTAGACTATTTCAAAGGTTTGTCCGCATTGTTACTTCCAATTTCTTAAATTCAAACCATTTGTTAACAAAACAACTGTTGGTGAAGTGATTGTTGACAAAATGAATCAAACCAACATTTATTTATTTTTACGTTATCAAATTCACGATTTTGATTGGCCAATCAACAATTGCATGGGTTAAAATTTTGTTACCTGTTTTTATTCCTTTGCTCAAACAAATAATTGTTTTTATGTGTCAATGATTAGTAAACGTTCTGGTCTTGGGGTAATTCTTGTTGTTAGAAAGAAAATATATGGAAAAAATGATTTCATACTATTTAATTAATGAAAAAACATGAATAAAATAATCTATACTAAACTAATACTAAATATTAAGTAATACATACAAAAGTAAGTCATCCCAAATTCACAAAGGACATGTTTCACGATTTTATGTTTGTTTTAAAGAATGAATTACAAGGTCTGATTATGCAATGAAGGAAACTTTGTTAACATTTTGTTTGTATTCCAATGTTGTAACTAATTTTTTTATTATGCAAACAGGGGTCTAATTTTTTTACCAATTATAATCTATATATGTTATAGATTAATATCGCATAAAAAACACGAATTTGGTCAGAGGGTCTCAGAGGTTTGTTTTACTATAAAAGGTCTCATATAAATAGCAGTTTTTTTGTCTAGCAAAGACTAACATTATTATTATCATTATTAATTTTTGGAAAGAAAAGAAATAAGAAAACTATATAATCTGTTATGGAATTATAGTCATTTGCAGCTTTACTATTATGATGTGTCATAACTGGTCTAGCAAAAGTATAATTTAAAATATCACATTTTAATTTGTTACATGTGATTTGCCATTTATTTTTTTCAATTGCACAAAATAATTTTATATTAAAAAAAAATTTTTAAAATGAATTCAATATTTGAAAAATATTCTAATGAAAATGAAAGATTATTAAACACTGAAGATTTTTATTATGTAAAAATATATGTTGGTGCAGAACCAAACATTATAGAAGTTCATGCACATGCATCTATCATATCAGCTCATTGTTCATTTTTTGGAAATGCATTAAGTGATGCAACAAAAAAAAATGGATATTATATTGTTAAGAATGCCAATATTAGTGAAAAATGTTTCAAGCCTATTCTCAAGTAAGTTTA